TTACACTATATAAACCACATCAAAATTTCATAACTTTCCTATGTGGGACAAGTGTATGAGAATTTTCTAATAAATCAAATTCATGTTTCAAACGGGTTACTTTGACATTAAATATTTCATTCAATACTAAATGGTTTTCGACAAATAAATATATCACGTTAATCCTCTTGTGGAGCAGAACGTGAATATCCTAGGTCCCGTTGAAATTAAGACACAGATCCCACTGAAATTTGGGCTCAAAGTTGACCCATTTCACTAGTATTAAAACAATTTTCCAACAGGTCCCACATAAAGACATCACTCTATTAATTATTCATTGAGGAAATTGCAGAAAATAAAAAATAAAAAAAAATCCACTTTCATATTGACATCCATTTGCAAAAAAAAAAAAAATGTCCCAATTTGTTCCATTTGCTTGTCCATTGTTGTAAAATTTAGACCAAGATGCAGTAACAATTTCAAATTTCACTGGAAAGACAATATTTTTCATATGAATTAAAAATTGTGTTGATAAATAGAATATTAATGCATAAGCTATAAGTTTGACACATAACGTATACTACATATTCGAAAAAGTAGCAATGTCCATCCATGCATTAAATGCTAATATGAAAATATCGTTTTTGACATATGATATGTCACGTCGAGATGTTCAGAGATTGAGCCCTTGTTTGATTCCATTATTTTCAAAATACATTTTTATTCATTTTTATTTCAACCAAATATTCTTCAATAAAATAATATTACACATAAATTCAAAGTATTTTCTTATTTTTTAACCACATAATCTCCTTCAATTTACTATTTCAAAATGCATTTTTAGCCAAATAATGGAGCTCAAACAAGCCATAAATGTCAAGAACTAGGTTTCAAATGTAAAAAATACAATAAAATGTAGAGAAAAATCCAATCTCTTGCTAGTTCACCATCATTCGTGCGCACGAATATGAGATACATGACAATAAATTTTGTGTTCAAAACAAACTAACATTGGATTTGTGAAAATAATTTCTAAGTTCTTCATTTCTTAATTCTATAGAAATTATTCTTTTTCATAACACATACATTTAACATTAACTAACAAGATGTAGTGTTTAGTAGAGTCAAGATTTTAGCACTAATTGACAATTCTATGATGTGTGAAATACTAAAGAAGTATTCAGGTGACAAAAACTACCTAACAAACCTATATTGTCAATCCAACATCAATTCAATGTAATGACAATTAAAAGGACTTGGTGGGTTGCCATTTATCCCCGTTTGATATACATTCTTTTAAAATACATTATTTCGTAACTCATTTTCAACCACGTATTTTTCAATAAAATAATATTTTACATCACATCAATAATTTTTCCTTACTTTTTAACCACATATTTCCCATCATATCACAATTTAAAATACATTATTTCCTCAATAATATCCATCAAACACGTCCTTAGTATAATTTATACCATATTTTTCCTTCTATCGAAATTTGTGGAGAGTCAAATCAGCTCACAAAATTCGTTCTTCTATTTTTTTCTCAAAACGAAATGCGTGATTTTCTTCTTTGTTAATGCATATGTTTTTTTCACAATTCAATAATGCTAAACCATACTTGGCATCATCTTCCCTTTTCTCCAATCTTCATCTGTTCATTACCTTCTAGACAATGCAAGAAATGGAACTAGTGGATAATAACTCACACATCATGTTAGCTTCTAATGGAAGCAACTTCATTGATTCGAGGATCATGCCGCAACCAAATATTTTTTTTTTTGCTTTCATTAAGGGCATAATGGACATTTTAGTACCAAATTCGATCGTGTTTGCAAGGGTCACCACAATTTTAATTTAATACATCGCATTTTAATTGCGGTTAAACTTCTCAATATTTACTTACTGTTGCAATTATTTCCTTTAACATTTTTCCGTCAAATTCTTATCTTCAATGTTTCATTAATACTAAAATCTCATACTTGATGATAATTTATATCAATTTTTTTTTATACTTTGAAATGAAGGAGAAATATTTCTCACACTTTTTATTTATTTNAATTTTTTTTTATACTTTGAAATGAAGGAGAAATATTTCTCACACTTTTTATTTATTTTTTAAAAATATGATAGGAAAATAGATTGTTTTATGCTATTTCAATGGACTTTTGGAAATAAAACTATTATCAAATACAAAATTTGTTAATTAATGAAAAAGTTTGTGGATAAAAATGACATGAAAAATAGCTAGGGAAATAAGTGATATAATGATCAGAGACGGAGCTAGGGGGGCTGGGGGGGCGACCGCCCCCCAACATTGTCCGCCGGTCCACTATTCCTAATTAATTTTTAATAAATTTTTCAGTTTCGCCCCCCCGGAAAATTTTGAAATTTTTTTTCCATTAATAAATATTGACCTAATAACTTACAGCACATGTTCGTCCAAATCCAAGTCCAGATCCAGTTAGTAAGTAGATTCTTTTCTGTTTTTGTAGTTGAGCCCATATAAGCTTAACAAGTCAGCCAGCGTCCAATTAAAAAAAAAAAATTAGTAAGCCTCATTCCAAAAATAATGAGTAAATGACCCTACTCTAATTTTTTGGCCCAAACAAAATTTAAATTCTATTATCCATTTAAACCTAAACC